CAAAAAGCACAACGAGGGGAATATTTTCTGTAGTAATCCTCCAGGCAATGGACCTTATTAAAATTATCTAGTGTAAATGGTATACCATCCAGGTTTTTACCACACTCTTCACACAAAAAGCAGTGTGGATGAAAACATTTCCCAGTAGCACGCAATATCTGCAGAAAAAGAGAGATCATTATTTGGATGAGGAAGAGTGTGATAGAAGAATCATTTACCCTAAGTGGCAGATGTGTCAAAGCCTTGTAAGTTTACTCAAAATTATGTAACTTTTGTCCTTTCAGAATTTCACAATCACATTGTGCAATATTTTGTCAGTAAACAACTGAGTTTAAGTGCATATTAATAAGACCAGATGCAGAAAATTAGACTATAAAAATATGGAATTAGACATAAATATAATAATAATAATAATAATAATAATAATAATAATAATATATAAATTTTATAAATAGAGAAAACTTACTCGATCTGTAATTTGTTTGTTGCAAACCCAGCAAATTTCTAAGGAGCTCTGATCACCAAAAAAGAAACAAAAAATCAATAAATGAAAACTATAAAATATCAATTATGTGGCAAACTGTACATGCAGCGGAAGATCAACAATTATCTTACTTACTAGGTAATCTGCTTCACAATAAGCTTTATCTTCAACTTTATAAAAAACTTTACCAGTTAGCTGACAACCTAAATTATAAAGAAATACAGTATTATATTAAAAATAATATTGTAATGTCAAAATCAAACTTAATCCCAGGGCAGTAGCCAGAGCGAACGGATAACCGCCCCCCTTTTTTTTGAAAAAAAAAAAAGAAATTAAATAGCAGGATTATTGTATAACAGAAAGTCCGAAATATTATAGGTTTGCCTGAGATAACGATAAATGATAATTTCACATGAGCTTAAAGAGTTAAATTAATTGTAACATACTTTAATATTAAATTTTTATGTTAGCCACCCCCCTCTGAAAAATTCTGGATCCGCTGCTGGGCTATATTTTGATGTTTTAGATGACGATTTCTCACTGAGAAACTTAACCTCCTAGAGTTAACTTACCACATTTATGACATACAAAGCAATTGATATGAAACAGCTTATCCATAGCATTACATCCTGATCCCTCCCCTGACACCTTTTGACCACATTTATGACAGATTCCTAGAACAGACAGACATAGTATGCATTACATTCAGAGTAAAAATTGACAACAAARAACAAAGTTTAATGAGTATGTGCAATGATTCTTTTATTGATATATGCGATGCAAGTGTGCAAAATTTACAGATCAGAGTGAAGGAAACAACCTTCAGGCAAACAATTTGTACAACATGAAAACCTGATTATTATATATTATATTTGTGCAATATTACTCTAATGCACAGTAAAATAAAAATGGATTGGTTTGCATTACATGTAAATGCAACATTGACAAGTCTTGAACGAGATTTACATGTAATGTAAATAATTAAAAATGYACAGTCATGAATGAGGTATTTCTTGTACATCGTATCTGGTTAAATCTCAGTGGGATTGCCATTTCTGGCATAATTGTGCCCACTCTACCCAACCCTGGGTGTCTGACTAATAAGAGCATTGACATAAATGAAATAGATGTACAAATATGGGCATAGACTTCATTGATATAGATCATATAACAATGACACCATCAAATAAGTAAATTAGAAATGTTGCATTTCTTAATTTGATCTAATCAAAATTTTATATATTGATACCTGGCTTATTTTCGTAAATTTAATAAACAATATTCTTTTCGAAAAAGAACGATAACGTTTTTGTCCGATTCAGAAAGTTATGTCATCAAAAATAAGATTTTAAAACTTTTTACCGCGAAAAAGAAAAAAAAATAACTTTGAAGCGTAAAATGCGTTGACAAATTAATTAATAAACCTGGGTGATTGTGCGTGTTTTATACAGAAAGTGCGAACTTGAGCTTACGTTTTCAACGTTTTCAACATTCAGTAACTTTATACTTTTACTAAGTTACTATTCGACAACGAAAACAAAGATTTGTAAATTGCATTGCAGGAAACTAGCATCAAAACTTTATACTACGAGGGATCTCTTTGATATGCTTATAAGAAGATCAGAACCCCTACATTTCCAGTCTAATAAGCCAGGAACAAATCGACAAAAAAATGTACATTCAGCGACAGATGTTAACATATTAATTTTCAATCCAAATCGAAATTCATGTTCAAGAGTTGTTGCTCAGCAAATGAGCACTCGACTGGAAAACATAGATGAGTCATGCTTACCGAARAAATCTGGGTCTGAACTGTACTCTAAGTTCTTGACAAGAAGATCCGTGAGAGCGTCAAGTTCATCTTCCTCTGTTGTCCTATCRTTGCTTGAWGGAGGTGGAGGAACAGCCACAGGTTTATGCATCAGYCTTGTAGCCGTCATCTTCATTGGTTTTGGTGCAACWGGCGGTGGGATTTTCTTGCCTTGAGGYGACCGTACATGGTTGTTAGGATTCGACATGGCGATCTGGAATACTTTTAGTGTTGCARAAGCACTAGAGATCTCTTAATGAAGTTATCCTTGGTCTATTGTTATTCCAAAGGCAAAGATCCGTAAACGCCTCTGTTTGGAATCCAACCGAAGCATGAGAAACATGCAAGAGGGCTGAAACAGGGAACCCAAACATCTAAAACTGAYCTCCATTTCTTTTTCTGTTTAACCTCTGTTCTCCTAAAACTAAAATCCGTGAATTAACCCTCTATCATTTTCGAGTTAAAATTCTTAAATAACCAATATCTCATAAAAGGAAGCAAAACTTGTGATATTCAAGTCTGCSTTTCGGTTTCCCTGTGGTAAAGACTTTGACGTCATAGGTCAAATCCAACCAAAGTTGTCCAAAACCATTGTGCGAAGTTTTTATCATTTTTAAGGCTATTTTACGCCTTTTATTTGTCARAATGCTTATATATGTGGAAAGCAAGGCTTTTCCGGTAAGTTTTAATGATGTTTCTCCAACAATATTGCTGATAAAGACTCTCATTCTGTTGCTASTCTCGATAGTCTGCCATGTTTACACTGGTTACAGGGGTATTCAAGCTGCAAAGAGAGGCTTTTTGTAAAAAAATACACTACATTTAAGCGCAACAAAAATGTATTTTTGGCCATAAATACATCGCTGCATTGTCGTGTAGACTTGAGACGAATTCAGTACAAGCTAATTCCATTTAAACTTAACTTAATACTCGCGGTCGTTTGGAGTCGAGGCTACGTCAATGCCAGCTATCATTCTCCTTGTTATGAAAGCTTACTCCATATTTCGAATAAAATGTCATACAGTAAAACTGATGACTTGCTTGAACACAGTAATAACCTCCCTCAAGAATCAATATGTTTTTGATTTTTCTAAATGCACAAACCATGGGTATATGTTGAGATGATAGTGACATTAAAAAAATATTTGAAAGAACGACCTGGCATTATTATTATTTATTTATTTATTATTATTTTTTTTGCGATGTTAGAAATATAAATAGGGCTAGAATGTTTCAACTTTTTTTATGACATGGTCATTTAGTCAAAATGCTGTTATATTGACGAATTCATATTGACACCTGTCAATCAAAACAGGGTTTATAAACAGTCCAAGTTTATAGGTGTTGCCTCTGTGCACAAAGAAGACTTCTATAGTCATTAATTTTACAATGATTTATTAWTTTCCTTTCAGAACAAGACATTTACATTGATATGTAACCTCCATGAYACCATAGCTAGGGCAAGGGCCCAGATGCTGCATATTCTGTATGAACTAGGGAGAGAGGAACATCAGTTTAGGTTTAGATTTAAAGGGGAATATCTCAGAGATGCCTACACATTTGAGGTACACCTTAGTTAGTAGAACTGATCCACTCTGGAAATGTTTGCCCTATGGCCTCCTCTCCAGTCTTAAATCTCTCCCTTCCCCACTTCTTTCTACTTTTGGGCTTCCTGTCTTCCTCAATGTGACTGACAGAGAATGTGACCCAACAGAAAGTATGTGGAAGGGCACAATTGGCACACTCTTGGCCAAGGGGAACTGTCATAGGGWCCCAGGGCAGAATGATTGAAGAGGGTCTCAATAGGGTTAATAACTGACTAGCGTATAAGGCTGTGTTTTTTCCTAGTCGTAAGCGTATAACTAACGAAGATTTAACTGCTTACCGTATAAAGTACGTCCAATTTTTAACGTATTTCACTTTCTCATAACCTATTGTTGTAACAAACCATCATTAAATGGTCGTTGCTTTTTAAGTAGTTGATATTAATTTCKTGCTTTAGTAAACATGAAATTAATTATAGTTTGGAAGATTTTCTTTGTCCTCGATGCTATTTAGCAATGTGTGAGTCATGATCAGTCAATTGTACATGACAAGAGTTAATGCCAATGTTATCGAAGCGTGACATGTTAGAAATTATGGGGTTATCGTAGAGATGTGTTCTATATTTGGTTACCATGGAAACAATGCAACAAAACATCATTTTACTGACTAAGGCTTTTTTCAACTGTTTACTGACTAAATGGCGCTTTTTTAACTGTGTATCTGACTACAGGCATACCCCATTGACACCCTCATTGAAGTTCTGCCTGCAGACAATGCCCTAATGATATGGTTGGCCCATTTTCTCTGGGCATGCAATTTCAATTTCAATTTCATCAATACTTGAAAAGGCATTTAAGATATGACTGGATTGAGTAAAACAAAGAATCAGGACTCTCAATGCAGAAATGGTATCTAATTTGTTTAATATTGGTCAGCCGGTGCAGTGGAGGTCTATATTAATCGTATCTATGAAATGTTACATAATATTTTATAAAACGATCTAAAAGCTTCACATTTTATTGTCGTCATAGGATTACAAGATTCTTGACAATTCAGTTATCAAGATGGTTCCAATGAGCAAGAGAAGAAAGGGAGCTGGAAATGTAAGATCCCAATCTGTATGTTTTAATTAACCGAGTGAAAATTTATGTAGTTGACAAATATTGTTCAATTTTTTTCTGATAAATACTGTGGCCAGGCTTGAATTTTTCTTAACAATGTGTCTCACAAATGGCATCAAAAAATAGGCTGCTGAGAGAATTACTTGATCTTATGACACTTTAACACACTGTACTTCTGTTATTAGGAACAGTTCCATTTCTTTCTTGATGGGGGAGGGGGGATTAAATTGGAGAATCCCTTAAAAAGATCGAGGAGCAATATCAGTCAAACCCCCCCCCCCCTCATTTTCGTTCCCCCCTCTCTGCAAAATTGAAAATCAAATGACCTGTTCATCATTTGACAACCTCTCAACTAAGTTGCCATCAATTTTTTTAAATAAAAAATAAAGTTGAGAAATAGCTCCCTGGTCTGCCTTACTTGCAGTACAGGTCAGGTGCTGAATTGAGAGTATTATCATGATTTCTTTTCCTTCAGTCCTCAATCAATCTTCATGGATCCAGAGCAAGTGCAATGAACCAGGATGATGAAAATGAAGAGCATTTTAAGCTGCCAAAAACCAAGAAAGACCTGAAGGATCTTGATGATGTGCAGAGAGCTCTCCAAAAAGAAATCTCGATTTTCACTAAAAGGGAACGCCTGCTTCAAGATTTCAAGGTGAACTATTTGAAATGAAAAATAAATAATTTAAATATTTTTCAATGTATTATAATTGCACTTGTAATGAGAGGGACAAAAGACCGTTGGAATGAACAATATACTCTGATAACTCATGACAAATCCCTTGTTGAAGTTCCTCCAAGATGGCTGCTGTGCAAAAAAAAATCAAAACAAGGAATAAATAACCAGTCCTTTTACTATGCACACCCTGACAGTTGCTTTCATTGATTGCAATTTCGATGGGTATTACAAACCATTCACGCTGATCCATTAACCATTTTCTTGTTACTAATAATTGTTTCTGTCAGATCCTATTATGGATTCATTTCYTGGCCACCATATTGGCTGCAACTACGTCTTATCCATACTCAGCTGCATGGTCAGGTACAGTATTATCTCTCATAATACGTACATGTAGTACGCTGTAGTAGTAGCAACAAATAATACATCATTGAGAAAAATTAGAACAATAAATGTGAGACTGTAGTTTCATTGATAAGTAGTTGTTTGGAAAAACATGTAATAATGTAGTTTTATTATAATGTAAATTATCCTCTCATTACTCAATCATCCTGACCAACTTGTAAATTACACTTTCAAGCATTGATGAATGATGTCCATTAGAAGTAATCTCACTGGTATTTTGCTGGTCTTCTCCCCTTGCTGCTTATAGTATAAACAATAGGTTCATCTAGTATGTGGATGAATAGCCAGTAGGCTCAGTGTTGCCTACAGTTTGTAATGTCTGTGTATTTAACAAATAGATCTCATTTTTCCGTGCGTGTGTACTCTAATAGATACACAGATGACGTCAAAATGTAGTGAGAACAAAAAAGTACGCACGAGACGCAGTCGAGTGCGTGACTGTTGTTCTCACTACATTTTGACGTCATCTGTGTATCTATTAGAGTACACACGCACRGAAAAATGAGATCTATCTGTTTTATACAACAAACAATTAGTTTTGACGTAATCCATGTATCTATACTTTGATAACACACGAAAGCCAACCAATCAAAACGTCTGATTTTACTGAAAAGTTGTATAAATTCCTATATCAATGTGTCATGATTACAAGGGAAATATTAACTTAAGAYATCTAGGACAGATGGATGGAAAGAAAGTCCGCTGAGTGAAATAAGCTGAAGCTTTGCCAGCCAGTCAGGGCATCTTTCAGCTAAAAGACATATCCCTTCATGCAAAGATTTGATCAAACACATGACAATTTAGTCTCCTTCATGGTTRGGTGCGCCATCTTGAAAGGTAGACGTGCCTTTACATCGAAGCGAGACAACCATTGAGCATGCGATGATAGATACCTGTAAATAAATGTCTGTAGGTGTGTGAAAGAAGGTTTCTATCATTGCACACTCAACAGTCGTCTTAATTGCTTCAATGCAAAGGAACGGCTACCTTTCAAGGGTGCACCTAACCGTGAAGGAATTGATAAACACAGCTGTCAGTTACAGTCATTTTGATGTACAGTTTTTTAAAACTGTATTTTTTTAGATGTAAATCCATTGAAAGGCAGGTGAATTTTTTGCAGGCCTGGATTCTGTAGTTGCTATAATTATAGCTGCAATGATTTCTAACATTTCTCGGTTAATAGTCCTGTAATGCATTCTCTATTAAATATTATTCAGGTCTGTTGATGTTATTTGGTTTTCTGTATTGTCCTAATTATACAAGACTGGGAGGATTTGTTGGCAAATATGGCATGAAGTGAGTTGTGAACAATGATTATGAGATAATATGATCACCCCACAAAACACAGAATATGGGAAATCCTGGATCCCAGTTCCAAGCTCCCTTATTCCATATTCCATGAGGAATTTGGATTCATTGGATTCAGAAGGCAAATAATACTACTTGTAGCTTATTTTTGTTGTGACTTAATTATAAGATTACTAGTTATTAATTTCGTGGATTTGGCATTATTCCAACCTCTTGTTTTATCAGATTCCAATTCCATTGAGTATGGATTCCAGAGTCCAGAATACAATGTTGTCTGTTTCTGG